GCTTTTACTTTCTCTTTTTGCCTTGGCAAAGTTGTGTCTTGAAGACTTTCTTTCTTGGCACTGTGGGCAACGTGCAGTCAGTAGGCAGCCCTCGCCCGCCGCTCCTTATCTTTGCTGCAGGAGGAAGTGGAATGGTCTAGGGGGTTTTTGAAAAACTTCACATGGCTTGTGGCTCCGGTTTTCTTTGGAGTGACAGACACTAAGTTACTCTCTGAGTTAACTTTTTTCAGTGTTGGGAAGCGGTTTCTCAGAGTGTCAGCGGCGTCACCCTGTCATGACCTTGCTCTGAGTCACACTTCTCCAATCTTTTTTGACCCTCTGTATTGGAAACTACCTAATTCCTTTATTGCTGCGAGAATTCCACTCTGTCTGCCCCACACTCCAGGGAGAAAATGTCTACTGCAGCAACTAACCTATAGTCGAACACACTAACCTTTCGATCACTACACTCTTGGTTTCCATCTGCATCTATGGTAGCCTTATCTGTTTTGTCTCCCTCCCAGAATTCAAGATTTGCTGAATTTTTGCAATCTCTACAATCCCTCGCCTTTCTCATCAACCCAAAGCAAACAGCAAAGGGTTAACTCCATTCTCCCTGCACTAGGTCCTCATATTTGTTTTCCTGCAGCCTTTCTCCCTCATAGCAGCTGCTCTGACCAAATCTGTGGTCCTATTAAAGAAAGCACTGGACACCCTCGCCGCTGGTTAGAGCATGGGCCACAGACTGAAGGGTCCCAGGTTTGATTCCGGTCAAGGGCATGTACCATGGTTGCAGGTTCAATTTGGGGCACACACAGGAGGCAACCAATCTGTGTGTCTCTCTCACATCGATATTTCTCTCTCTCTCCCTCTCTCTCTATCTCTCTTCCTCCCACTCTCTCTGAAAAAGCAAAGGAAAAAATATTCTCAGGTGAGAATTAAAAATTAAAAAAAAAGAAAAGAAAACACTGGAATTTTTGAAACCCCAGCCATCTGGGTAGGTTGTTTGGCAGTTTTTCAGCTTCATGATGCTGGTAATGGCATGCATCTCATCACATGTACTTGGCTAGGTTTGTGCAGGTGGTCTTGGTTGCTCAGATGCTGGAGGAGTACCTCTGTGTTCTTGGGGAAATGCCAGGTGCCTAGTTTGCTTTTTTGCCTCATTGGAGGGCTAACAACTTGAAGTAAACCAATCCTTCAGGAACTCACCAGCCCACACCACTCGATCTGAACTCCATGACTTTCTGACCTAATAGACTGCCATGGACCCAACAGTCACTTCAGCACCTGTTTTTGAGCGGGCAAACCCAGACTTACTGTCTCCTGCTGCACCTGTACAGTCTGCACACATGGTAGTGACTCCACAAAATGCTCAACAGTGTGGGCTGTGGAAGTTCCCCTGAAATTAAAAGTGCTGCAGTCTTCACCCTTCTGGCCCTCCCAGGTATCTCCCTCTTCATGTGTCTGTGGTTAAAAAATGATGTCCAGCTTCTCTTTGGAATGTTCAAAGCTCTTTGGTTTAGGACTTGTAAGAAATTACTTAATGATCAGACAATAAGAGATAATTTTCCTTAGGTGGATGTGGAAATACTAAAAATTCATTGTCAATTTATGATGTTACTTAGCCATTTTCTCTCAAACATCACTAGAATGTTTATGTAAAATGAAGCATACAAAAAGGGTTATGAGGGGGGATGAGGCTTCTTCTATCAACCTCTACCTTTTAGACTTGTCCCAATATTATATTTGGAAATAAACATTAAAATTCCATTTAGGACCAGTGTAAAATTGTTAAGTGAACAAGATGCAATATTAAGCTATTAATAAAGGATCTTTTTTATAAATTGCTGTAGCTAGAAACAGAGGTGTTGCAATTAGGTAAGAAGCTTGGCAACTCCTCTTTAACATAGCGACTGCATGCTACTGTCATCTCTCTTGTGGTCTTTCAGGCTTCCCACAAGCTTATCAAGTCCCAGGATCTCAGAAGTAAAACATAGTAAATGGAAAAGGGTACATATATACTCTCTTCCAAAGAGTATTTATAAAGCAGCAGTATCACCCAAGTGCACATGCTCAAAACAAATGCAATTAGAACGACCTAAAATGCTGCTAACATGAATATGACATAGTAAAGTTGTGGACATCTGTTCAAGAACAATATGCAATGTGCACCCCTATGCTCATTGCAGCTTTATTTACTATAGTCAAGATTTGGAAGCTGCCCTAGTGCCCATCAGTAGATGAGTGGATAAAAAAGCTGTGGTACATTTACACATGGAATACTACTCAGCCATAAAAAAGAAGTAAACCTTACCTTTTGCAACACCATGGATGGACCTGGAGAGTATTATGCTAAGTGAAATAAGTAAGTCAGAGAAAGACAAGTACCATATAATTTCACTAATATGTGGGATCTAATGAACAAAATAAACAAACAAAATAGAAACAGACTCATAGATACAGAAAACAGACTGACAGCTGTCAGAGGGGAGAGGAGTTGGAAGCTAGGTGGAAAAGGTGAAAGGGTTAAGCAAAAAAAAAAACACCTCATTAACACAGACAATAAATAATACAGTGATTACAAGAGGTAAAGAGGGTTGGGGGAGGCAGAAGGGGGTAAAGGGTGGATAAATGGTGATGGAAGGAGACTTGACTTTGGATGCTGATCACACAATACAACATACAGATGATGTGCTATAGAACTGTACACTTGAAATCTAAATAATTTTATTAACCAATGTCACCCCAATAAATTCAATAAAAAATTTTTTAAAAGGAGCAATATGCAGTGAACTTAGCAAAAACCAACAAAACCTGCAAGACTAGGAAAACTGTTATCCTCTGGAAGCATATGATGTTAGAATTGTAAGTGGCTTAGATACCTTATGCTCCACCACTTTCATCTTAAGTTTGGAGATATGAAGACCCTGGGGAGATTAAGTGACTTCCCTGAGGTCTCCCAGCTAACTGGTAGCAGAGATAAGCCTTTAATCTAGGATCCCTAATTCCTTATTCCACTGCCACTGTACTAAGAGCCATAGCTAATCCTTTGGATTCTGCAAAGGCAACCTGAAAAATCTAGATCTCCAAACCGCAAAGGTAGGCAAAGTTGCTGCTTGCCCAGTTCACCTGTTTAGGGGTAAGGGGCACAGAGCTGAGTGGCCAGGAAAGAGAGGAGTAAGGCTACAGCAGAGAGGAAGTTTGCAGCAAGAGTGGCAGCCACCCATTTTCTGTAGGAGCCGACTTCTTTTTTCCTGCAGAAATCCCTGGTACCTAGGAACACAAGGTTTATTTTGGAGAGGTGAGAGAAAATAGTTTGAGAAAGAGGTACGTCCCAGGGTTGACCAGCTGTTGGATATATGGGAGAACATTAGAGAACATGTGAGCAATAATCTTCTATGATAGTACTTTTGTTGTTGTTGTTGACTGTCTTCCCAAACTGCTTCCACAAAGTAGTCAGTGGCAGAGTGATGTCAAGGGAGAAAGAGTGAGGGAGGGAAGCTGCTATGCCAAACACAGATCACTGCCACCCTATGTGATGTTTTAAAATACAGATTTGAAAGCAGAAATAACAAAGTTTTAAGGGATTTTGTTCCTGTCGTTTCTCTTGTCACTGCTTTTGCTACTGCTATTTAAAACAAGAAGTTTTGTCCAAAGTTCAAACTGGAGTTGGAGTTAATTTTATAGTTGTTATTTACATAGTTAAATTTCCCCTCAAGTCGTTGGTATGAAAATTTTTAACTCTGAAAGCCTGTGAGTTATTATTATTATTAGAGAAGGTGTTTAGTGTTAGTCAAACCAGTGATTATGAAACTGCCATAAAAATGAAAGTGCCTTTTGGGAACTAAAATTGTACAGGTCCTTCTGCTGAATACTTTGGTTCATTGATCATGATTATTTAAGTTTGTCTGAAATGTTTCAGCTTTACTTTCATCAACATGAAGTGCTTGCTTATAACTTCAAAATTTTTTCTATGTAAAATCACTGACTAAATTGTTCAGTTGTAGTTTGTTGTAACAGATGTGAATCTTGCCCAACAGACAGCTATGCAAGCAACAACACATTACTTTATTTTCATAATATCACATTAAATTTTATTCTGAGGTCCCATTACACAGGTTAACAGAACTTCAGTTTCAGTCATTACTGACATCCTCCCCAGCTCATGCAAAACTTTCAGGGAAACATTCAGGGAGGTTCCTCCTTTTAGCCTTCACTGGTTACTTCTGAGTTTTCTGTTCTTACTTACTGGGTCTTGAATCCTGTGGCTCAGGTGATTGCTGGAGCTTAGAGTTGGGCTCCCTGGGTGATCCACACAGTAAGCCTTCAGCCCCTGCCCAGGGGTTTCCCTTCACCTTCCTGGAGGTGCTACAGTGGAGTTGGCCACAGATTCCCCCCTGCACTCAGGACCCAGACCTTCACTTCCTCTCAACCCTCAGACGTCTCCCCATCTTCTCTGAGACACGTCTATGTCAGGTAATTACCCTGCCATAGTAAAGTGTGAGCAAGACAGAACTGTGGTCCTGAATAGACTCCGGGTGTTTTTCATTGACTACAGACCACCAGTCTAAAGGAGATGAAAACAAAGGAATTTCTTTATCTTGTTAAACAAAGGGGGAGAACCGTTTCATGGAATAGCAATAACAAATATTCGTACTATTCTAAGTGTTTTGCGTGTATGAGCTCATCTTATCCTCACATCTACTGTATAAAGTACTGTTTTACAAAGGAAGAAACTGAGGTACAGCAGTTAAGTAACTTGCCCGGATCATATGGCTAGCAAGTAGCCGAGGCAGACTGTAAACCCAAGCCAGCGGGCTCCAGAGCCCAGGCTCATGCCCCACTGTGCTGCCTCGCTGGCCGCTGCTGGCCTCTGACCTTGTGGTACATTACAGTTTACACAGCGTGGGGGGTAGGAACAGTCCCACAGTGCTCACCCTCTTCCCAGCCGGCAGGGGCCAAGGCATATTAGCCACATAATTCAGAATCCTGAAGTGCCTTCTTTGACTGTCTTGACTCAGGTAACGATCCATTCACCATCGTCAATGAAAACACAGGCCAGTGCATCAAGCCAGTGAGCGACTGGATAGTAGCCACGGATTGTGACAAAACCGAGGGCCTGTTGTGGAAGTGGGTGTCAAAGCATAAGCTCTTTCATTTGCAATCCCAGAAGTGCCTTGGCCTCAATATCACCAAACCCACGGATTCCTTGAAAATGTTCAGATGTGACGCCAGTGTCATTCTGTGGTGGAAATGCGAGCAGCACTCCCTGTACGGAGCTGCCCAGTCCAAGCTGGCTCTGAAGGATGGACACGCCATAGCAAGTACAAATTCATCTGACAGCTGGAGGAAAGGAGGCTCCGGGGAAAGCCTCTGCGACCAGCCTTACCATGGTAAGTACTGGAGAGGGACTTTGACTCATTTGCTGCTGTGTTTGTTAAATGTGACATTAAACATTCACAGCTGACCACAGAGTTGTACACAGGCAAGGGCAGGGAGCTAGGCTTCAGTTCCAGGCACTGGGCAGTCACTCTGAACTCTCCCCGGGGGGTCGGTGCTGGGAAAGGTACAGGCCTTGTGAGGTCACACAGCCATTCTGTGGCACCCTGGAATTGAAAATATCCCTGATGACTGAGCACATGTTTACAAACTTTTTATGATTACATCCTGAACTCCAATGTAAAGAAAAAGTTAGGGTGATGGGAAACCCATCGTACAGGATAAAAGTCAAATGATGTAGTCAAGTCGAACCTATTCTAAGTTACAGAAGAAAAAGAAAGAAAAAGGAAATCTATTTTTTCTTATCTGCAGATTTTGATGTAATGGAAAAGTTTAAGAGCCTCATGTGGGTTCCTGTACTTATTTTATTTTTGCTGTGACTCTTACACTTTGATAGTAGACTTTTTCTCAGTTGCTTCCAAAAATGAGTACATGATCCTTGCCCTTGGGGAATTGATTGTGAATTTTGTTCTGAGTCTAGAGACTGGAAGATAAGGAATTTCCAAGTTTAAAGAGAACGAGTAGGTTTCTTTTTAAAACCTAAATGTAAATAGCTCTCACGCAAGCAAATCTTTTTTCAGTATGTTGCTCTAAAATTACATCAGATGTTGATATATATATATATATATATATATATTTTTAATTATCTTATGTCTTAACTAGTATCTGACCTTTGCTCTTCTATGTGAACTTACACAGCTTTACAGAGATGTTTTTTCTCTTCTTTTGAAGCTCATTTAAGCACACACAATTTGGCCTCCACACAAGGTTCTGTCCTGAGGGAACCCCTTTCTATTTTCTAGTGCAGATGCAGCTGCCTCTGAGATGTCTGGTTCTACTGTTATGGGGACATATGAGAGAATTTAGGGTTTTCTTTTCTTCAGTCCTCAACCCTAGAGTAGTTGAACAGGCCTGTTTCTGCTAGCCAGCTTCCTCTGTACCTTAGAAAGCAACTGCTTTCTGGATGCCACTTGATGGCAAGTTTAAATGTTGTGCTGTAAAGCCTTTCTCCAACTTGGCTGCTGAGAGAAAACAGGGAACCAAACAAAATGGCTTTTGAACTGGATTTGATTTGTTCCATTGTATTTGCTCAAGGATCAGAAAGCATCATTTTCTTGGCAGGGCTCTTTCTGTCTCTTGCCCCTAATTCTTTCTAGGGATATATTTGTAACTGTAAGTTACTTCAGCCCCCAAAATGTCTAACAGGTTTTCTTCATAATCCTATGTGTTTTATTTCATGCATTTATAATATTCTGAGAGGGGGGCCCGCTGCCAAAGTGATTGGTGTCCCCCAAAAGGTTAAGAACCCATCTAGGTCACCACCCCAGAGAGAGTCAAACAGGCATAAAGTGTTTCTTGACCTTACCAAATATAGTATTTGGAACACTGATGAATCTCAGAGGGGAGGGGGGCAAGAAGAAATTAACCAAAGAACTTATACTCATATATGCATAACTGATGGACATGACAATAGTGCAGTGAAGGTTGGTGTGGGGCAGGGTGGAGGGGGTCAAAGCAAGGGAAAAAGGAGGGACATCTGTAATACTTTCAACAATAAAAATAAATTTTTTGAAAAAGAAATTTAGAAATTTCTAAATGTAGTTCTGACTTGTCAACACATACCTCAGGATTTAATTTGCGCAGAGGTCAGGACCAAATCTGCCTCCTCTTTTTCCATTCCTCTCCTGGTGAGCGGTTCCTTCCAAGTCGCATATGTCAGAAATCTGTAAGTCTCCCTAGAGTTGTCCTCATTTCCTCTCCCACCATTCAAATTTAATCCAATATTAAGTCCTTGCAATTTTACTCTTTTAAATTTATGTAGTCCCTCATTGTTCTCAGGTTGGAAACTGCTGTCTTAAGTCAGGGACTTTCTCTAGGACTGCTCCCTCAGACTCCTCATATTGGTTCCTGTCCCTCTTCTTATCTAACTTTATAGAGGAAAGAAAGATAAGATACCTAAATTGCAACAAAGTGAAGTCCAAAGTTACCAAGCTTGTTACAGCAAAGCTGCAGCTCAAAACCAGGATCTTGTTCCCCAAATATAGCTGCTTTATTTCTCCCTTGGCTTTTGCTGTATAAATTATTTTACTTCTAATATAAGAACATTTGTCACTGTGTCCTTGGTTGCCTCTCTTGCCAACCCCCATCCTGTGTGAGTCATGTCCATCAGAGAAAACTTTATTTTTTAAAAATTTATCTTTATTGATGAAAGTATTACAAATGTCTCCTTTTTCCCCCTATTGAGCCCCTCTACCCTGCCCCCAACCCCTCCCCAAGCCTTCATCGAATTATTGTCTGTGTCCATGGGTTATGCATATGTGCATATCAGTTCTTTGGTTAATCTTTTTTTTTTTAAATATATCTTTATTGATTTCAGAGAAAGGAAAGGAGAGGGAAAGAGAGACAGAAACATCAATGATGAGAGAGTCATTGATCAAGCCCACAACCGGGCATGTGCCCAGACCAGGAATCGAACCCCAATCGCCTGGATCCTAAGTCAGTGCTCAACCGCTGAGCCACGCTTGGCCGGGCTCTTTGGTTAATCTTTTCCCGCCCCCAGCCCTCTTCCCTCTGAAATATATCAGTCTGCTGCATGCTTCAATGTCTCTGGGGAAAAAACTTTAGTTATATACATTTTATGAATAAACTGCTTTGGCTACCATCCAGATATGCGTTTCCGTCATTAAGATATCATGGCCTTGCTAGCACTCTTCAAATGGTGAACTATGCAGAGGAAATGGGCTGTTATTGGAGCCGCGGTTGTAGAGCTCTCTGAATTTTGAGCAGCTCTTAAAAGCCTGTCAACTTCTTTTAACCATTGAAGATATTTTGTCTAACAGTAGCAAAAATTTTTATATTAGTTTTCCATGTAAGTGCCTCATCTTTTTAAAGACTGCTATCCCCATAAATCCACACTTGCAGAGAAGATTCTTCCCAGAAAGCCTGTTTCTCTAAAGAAACCCATGGGATTTAAGAGGTCCAGAAGCAGCGAAGAAATGTGTGAGAATAAAACTCTTGGTGAATAGTTAGCGTAACTTAGCTGCTGCTGTTGTGGTGGTTATATGCTTGTTCTGCAGAACATATTGTGAGTAGGAGAGCTTTTTAATGGGACCCCAGCTTTGAGCTATGAAACATAACTTGAAACCTGAGAAGGCAGCCATAGCTGTCACAAGTTGTCCTTATATGTCAGGGACTCTAATCAAAGAGCCTGTTCCTGTCATTTACAACTGAGTGACTGACTGATTCGTTTAACTACTCTGCAAATGGGAATTTCACAAACAGGTGTAATACTGACTTCAGGGGCTTATGGTAAAAAGCAAGTGAAAGAAATGTGTGTGAAAGCACTTTGTATGAGAAACACAGCATTTAGAAAAATAACCTGATGTTTCTATAAGTAATAGTCACTGTGCACAGGGACTCTCCTGTTAAGTGTTGTAATACGGGAAGAGAAAGTGGTCATGAGATCTTGGGAGTTTGGGTATGGTTAAAAACAAAACTTGGGTAATAAGCAGGATCCTTATAAAATATAAGGACAAATTACTCTCTTTAACAGAAATACCCTGTTCATAACCATTTATATGTCAGAGGAAAACAAAACCAATGTTCCTTAAAAGATTTTTTGCAAATAAAAACATCTAAATTATTCTTACCTTTTGCTGTATTGCTGCTTAATATTAAGTTAAGTCTTACTGCTACCAGATGTGGTTGGTCCCACAACAGGTATGCTTTGGACCTGCAGATAGTGTGTGGGTTCTTGACTTTGTGCAAGAAAGATTTCACAACACAAGTCCAGGTGTTTTTGAGAGTATGTTTATTAAAGCTGGAGATAGTGAAACAAAAGAAGGTCTTAAGGTAGAAGAAGCAACAGAAGAGAGAAAGTCAGAAAAAGGGGACCTTCAAAACAGGTTCACAGGTTAAGCCCAGGATGAGCTGCCACTGCCCACTGCTCCCCTGGTTGCAAGTCTAGTGGGGACCCTTAGAGTTTAGGAGAAAAACAGCAGAGATACAAGGCATGGGTGTGCTCTAGTGAGAGCATGCCATGAGCAGAATATGTTTATTAAAGCTGGGGACAGTGAAACAAAAGAAGGGCTTAAGGTAGAAGAAGCAATCGGAGAGAGAGAAAAAGGGGACCTTGCAGACAGGTTCAGGAAGTCAGTCCGGGATGAGCTGTTGCTGCCCATTGCTCCCCTGGTTGCGAGTCTTGTGGGAACCAATAGAGTTTGAGAGAGAGAGAGCAGACATACAAGGTGTGGGTGTGCTCTAGCAAGAGAGCACGCCAGAGGGTCTTTTGTCTTGAGGCTTCTTATCTTTCTTTAGCTGGTGGAAATCCTAGGGGAGGTCTCAGGAGAGGGTCCTAACAGAATATTTATTAGCTTTTCAGCTGTGTCTTTCAATATGTTGATTCATCAAAAAGTGTGTATATAGGGGTCAGGGTTATATTCTGGTTAGTTTTCTTTTTAAAGAACATTATTGAGAGGGACCAGGACCGAGGCCAGTCTGCCCCTGCATGGTCTGGAATGTATAAACTATTTGCTCCTAAGTGTCCTTGGTTAGGGAAGATAAAACCTTGTTGATTCGATAGCTGTCTGTAAATTGCTCAAATTGTTTGGCCTTGCTTAATTATTCTGTCTCAGTTTATTCCACTTGTCAAGGAATTTCCCTAGCTTCTTACTATCCTTCCACATCACACTGCCGTTAAGTGAACATTTGAGAATAATAAAGGATGTGGAATCAAATACTATCTTAAGTACACTTTTATGCAAACATATGAGACATTCTGAGGGACCCTACTAGCCTGTAAAGGGTGATTGAATCTGGTTCCTATGCTTTACCTAGCCATAATTTAATCTGGTAATGAGCATAGTTTTAAACAAATTACAGATGTGGAAAAAAGTGACCAAAATAGTTATAGGGTTAGCTGTTCTATAAAAACACCTTTCCAAGAGATGTTATTAACATATGTATTGAGCACTTCTTCTAGTATTTCTAGGAATATTTGAAGTTAAAATAATTTTTCGGTTCCTCTCCATGCATGTACCAGGGGAAATTACTAAAAGGGAAAATGCTAGTTCTGCTGCTTCCCTGGTCACCAGCTGGTCCTATGACTGCCCAGTTGAAGCTGTTTTTTCTTTCATAACCTGAACTACCAGGTCCTGCCCCTCTCCAAAAACCTACTCTGAGATCCAGCAGCTCTTCTTCCCACTTCCTTGAAACCCATAGGCTCAATTCTACCACCAGTCTGTGAAGAACAGGGCTGTTTGTCCATCTTTCAAACTCTACAGTAGTTTCCAAAGTCCACACCCACCTTCAGTGATTCCAAGGTATTTTACTGGCCCCACTAAAGAAAAGAAGATAAAGTGTATGTTTAAGTGGCAGGGCACTGCTTCTGGTGAAATACTCTGCTAATCACAGTAGTTAGTTGATCCTCACTTGATCAAGCCATGGTCTTTTAGCTCACCATCGTATCACAATTAATATAAGTTTTGCATGGCTTATCTCATTAAATCCTCATGAACAAACCTATGAGCTAGGTACTATTATTCCTAATTTGCAAATGCAGAAACTGAAGCTCATAGAGGTTGGAGAGCTTGCCCACACCCACACAGTTGGTCAGTGGGGGAGCCAGCATTCAAGTCCAGACCTGAGCAGTCAGCATTTGTGCTCTGAATTTCTACACCACACAGCCTACACAAATACAGTATTCTCATAAGTGAAAACAACCATCTTTCTTTCAGAGCAGTTTTGGAAATTAGTTAGCTGAAGCAGATTATCTGCTTGTTAACTCTTCTTTCCTCTGCTTCCCCCTCAACCCACAGAGATATATACCAGAGATGGAAACTCCTACGGGAGACCTTGTGAATTTCCATTCTTATATGATGGGACCTGGCATCATGAGTGCATCCATGATGGAGATGACAATGGGCCGTGGTGTGCAACCACCTTAAGTTATGATTATGATCAAAAGTGGGGTATCTGCTTAAACCCAGGTATGTATGGGCTAGTAAACGTTGTATATAGAAAGAAAAGGCACATTTCCAAGAGGCAAAAGGGAGAAGGAAGAGTCCAAGATAATTCAGAAATGACTGCAACAGATATTATCCTAGGTAAGGAGTATATATTTGAGGGAAAAGGGAGAATTAATGTGTAGCCGTGAACGTCCTTTCAGAAGTAGGCCAGGAAGAGAACAAAGATAGGATGGCGTCACAGATCACACATGATGAGGGGGTGGTCTTCAGCACAAACACCGCTGGGAGAGAAAGTGGAAGAGGCACGGGCCGTGGGGAAATTGCTGCTGACCTTTAGCAGAGCAGTCTGGAAGACTAGCGGTCATAGAAGCTGGGCTATAATGGACTGAAGCGTGAACAGAAGGGGGGTAAGCCTCTCAAGTTTTATGGAAAAGGAAAAGAGAGAGGGGAGGGGTAGTTCAGAGGGAGATAGGTTGAAGAAACAATTTTAGGATGGTGGACGCTTAAGTGTGTTTATGGCCTGAAGCAAAGGGGGGGGGGGTTCAAAAGAGACATATCCCTGACTCTCTCAAAATTGGTGAATTGTTCCCTCTGCCATTCCTATATATTGATCAGAGCATTTTTTCTAATTGCTTCTTACTTGAAGCAAACAATTCAGGATGTGCGAAAGAACTGACTGTTCCTTAGAGAGAGAGAAAGACCAAAGTAGGAGTTGCATCATTATCAGGTATACAATAGATTTTCTTGCCAACCAGGTAAAAGTAACAGGGGATCATGGTACCGGACATGTGGTAAGTACTCAAGAAATATTTTTAATGGGCAATAGGTTGGAAGAATCTGTAGTAAAGGAAAAGGGAACAGCTCCAGACCTAAGTAATAATACTTAATACTTATAGGGCCCTGCAGGTGTCAGTTACTAGTCTAAGCACTCAACCTGTATTAATTCCTGCAGTCCTCACACAACTCCATTTTACAGGTGAGCAGACTGAGGCACAGGGGAGTTAAATTACTTGCCTAAGGTCACACAGCTAATAAGTTTCAGAACTAAGATTTAAAGCCAGGAAATGCAGCCCTGAAGTCCTTGTCCTAAATAGTTATACTATCCTTCCTTATTCAGCAGCCAACCTAGTGATATAGCAAAGTTGATCCCTCCTTGAGGGAAGCTGAGCTTCAAAATGCAGTTCTTGACAAAATGCAGAGTCCTGTGTTCCAACAAATAAAGAACTGCGGTTATACTGAGCCACTGGTTCTCAAACTGTAGGATGCAACAGAATCACTTGGAGAGTTTGTTAGAACACTCTGGGGCCCTGCTTCAGAAATTATAATTCTGTAGATTTAGAGTAGGGCCCAAGAATTTGCAGTTTAATGAGTTCCCAGATAATGCTAATGATGCTGGTCTGGAACCACACTTTGATAATCACTCTTCTAGGTAGAGGCACAGGCTTTTAAACACCTGGAACCCATTGAAAAGTAAAAAGCCAGTATTTGCTTCAGCTCTAATAGATAAGCAGAGTTCGGTCAACCAGGCACCAATTTCATTTAAATGTCACAATAGTTTGGATCGGAAATATTAGATGTGACTGGGAGTTTAGAGGTTATCCAGTGCAAACCCTCACGTCTCAGGTGCGGAGCAACAAACCCAATTGATAAAGTGACCTGTCAGGGTCAAACCCCATTTGTGTAGAGCCTGGTGGAGATCCCAGGCTTCCTGACCCTTATTCCCCGATATATTTAGCCAACTCTGCCTCACTGCCTTGATTGGCATGTGTCTCAATACCTTTAGTCTCCACTGCATGGCTGGGGGGTGGATTTTTAATGCATTCATATGCCTCCCAGAGTTATTTTTATGGAAGAAGCAAGACTGTGAGCTTTTAAAACCCAAGAACTGCTAATCCATGAGATTTCATTTTATAGTAATAAACACACTGCTAGTCCACTGGAGCTTCTGGATTTAAAAGCATTGGGCCTCAGTGGTAATAAGGAACCTTTAGGCAGTATACGTACAAATCCACCTATTTTGTTTTCACCACATGTCACAGTAACCTCTGTTGCTATTTAGGCCATTCATGTGGCTGAGGGAGCAGTGTTAGTCATTCAGACAATCAGTAGACCAGATGGAGAGACCGGAGCTCTGATGACAACTCTGCTGCAAACACGTCTAGACCTTTGTTCCCATATGTGAAAGGAGGACATTAGCCACAATGATATCTAAGGGCCCTTCCAGCTTGGGAGAGCCAGAATGGTGGCGGACTGAGTGGAAGCTGCACTGGCACTCTCCCGGGGCCAATCTGGATTTACAACTAAAACATAGAAAAATCATCCTGAAAACCAGCTTGAAAGGCCATGTGATATGTGACTGATTATGGAAGGCCCTTTGGAAACCTCGAGTGAAGCCTGGGACACACCTGATGTAGCCTACATTAGGTTTTCCCTCTTGTAGAGAGCACATGGGAGTCTCTGAGTATATTTTTGAATGAGCTGTATCAAGACTAGATGTCTTGTCCAGGAAATAGCTCGAAGGTTTTTTCTGAAATGATACATGCTTTTAAAATATTTGTTAAAGAAAATAATACGTACATTATACAGTGAACATATATGTATGTACATATATGCATATAATAATTTTGTAATATTAATTATATATCATATATTGAATTATCTATTCAAATATTAAGGAGAAACTTGGACTGAGTTTCCCAAATCATGTAGTCACCTAGGCTCTAAATCTTGAGCATTTAAACAGTATGTCAGCACACAGACATACACATGCAATGGTTTCACTGCAGACACTTCACATGACCTTGTTTTCCATTAACTCAGAGGTTCAACATTGAGCACAGTTGAAGTCTCCTACCCTTAGTGAGAGGGCAGGCATGGGCTAAACTATGGCATTGTAATTGATAGGGCATAAAGGGCGGGTGGGCAATAGGAGAGTGGAAGCTTTAATCAGCCTGAGTCATTGGGTGCCCTAGAACTTCAAATACTTCATGTAACCAAAGAATAAAATTGTGGTCTAGTTGAGCAATAAGCTCCCATGTAAGCTTATCCTAAGAGCACGCAAATTGAATTGCAGTGTTTATAAGCATTGTGTGCAATAGAAAACATTATGCCCTTACTTTAGCATCCCTAACGTATCTTTTGATCAACAGAAAATGGCTGTGAAGGTAACTGGGAAAAGAATGAGCAGACTGGAAGTTGCTACCAATTTAATACTCAGACAGCTCTTTCTTGGAAAGAAGCTTATGTTTCATGTCAGAATCAAGGAGCTGACTTACTGAGCATCAACAGTGTTGCTGAATTAACTTATCTTAAAGGTAGGTTTAACCTGCACATGGTAGAGTAAACTGCCGAAATTTTAAAGGTGCTATGTGTCTTCCTCTATGTTCTTATCCAGGTGTGTTGTTCTGTGTATACATTTCTCTATCTTCTCTTGGGATTTAAACTTCAGCACTGAAACCCACATGCAAAAATGTGCTGAATATAATCCTGTTCCATCCATTGAACCTGCATCTTGTGATGGAGTCTAAAAATAAGTTAATGTTCAGAAAATGGGGTGAGGTTGCAAGATTAAACTGCTACCCTAAGCCTAAGTGAAAGGACCTTTAAAAAGGCAAACATTAAACTCTTTGAACATTGAGAAGTGGGAACTGGAGGAAGGTAAAGAAGACAGCTGAGTCATACTAGATGCCTCAGTAAAAAGTCTCACGTGAGAGTAAACAAGTGCAGTCCTCGGGGGCAGGGAGAGTTTTAGGAAACCTGAAAGTGGATTTAATGATGTGGACACATGGAGTGGGTAGGGTTTTGTTTTGTTTGTGGGATGGTGATGCTAATTTTTAAATTTTTAATTATGAAAAACATTGTATAGACAAGATTAGAAAATAAGCTAATAGAGACCTGAGCAACCACCACTGTGACAAAAACACACTAACATTTTATCATACTGCTTACATGGACTGATTCACTTTCTCTCTCCCTCGTTACCCTCTCTCTTCCTGCTTCCCTCCCTTTAAAGAATAAAATGTTGGCTGAGTTCAAGCCCCACGCCCACTTCTCAAAATAACCATCCCTGGAGTGCTCTTATAACATACATATGTATAAACCCTATATCTGTTTTCATTATACTATTGTTCTATGTTTTAAAGTAATGCAAATCCTATCTCATTTGTTACCTGCTGCTGTACAGTGTTACACTGTATGAATAAACCACAGTTTATATCTTCTCCTACCAAAAAACAGGTGGTTTTCAGCTTTTGCTATTACAAACACTTCTTCAAGGAACATCCTTATATGTGCCCTGTCAAGCAGACGTGTATGATTTTCTCTAGAGTAGAAATTGCTGACACATGGAGTGCACATCTCTTCACCTCAAATTAAATTTCCAAATTGCTTTCCAAAATGATTGTATTACTTTACACCTCCACTAGTGCTTGATGTTAACAGACTTATTAATTGGCTGTTTTGATGAATGGGAAATGGTATTTCATTTTTGATTTACATTCCCCTGATAGTTAATGTGGTTTTGCATCTCGTGTTTACTAAGCATTGAGGTTTTCCCCTTGTAATTTGCCAGTTCATTTCCTTTGCTTATTTTCTATTGACTTGTTGACCTTTTTCTTATTGATTTGTTATAGTTCTTTATATATTCTGGATACTAATCTTTTGTTGTAGGATTACAAATATCCTTTTCTAGTCTTTGGCCTTTCATTTTATTTTTGTTGCCTCATCATAAAAAAATGTCAGTTTTAATTTGATTAAACTTACCAATCTTTTCTTTAATGTTTTGTACTTATTTATATTATTTAGCAAAGCCTTCCTTAGCCCTCAAATGATAAAGATATCCTCTCATGTTTTCTTCTAAAAGTTTATAATTTTGTTTTTCACATTTACATTTTTAATCCATGTGTAATGTAGTTTGTAGAGCTAGGAATCTAATTTGTCTTTCCCCACATGCATGGTCAAGTTTACCAAACACTATTTATTTTACATTTTTCCCTCTGATTTGTTATGCCACCTCTAAAAATATAAAACCTATCATACGTGGGTTGTTTCTAGGCTCTCAATTCTATTCCTTTGGTTCATTTATCTGTCTCTGTATCTGTTGTACACTGTTTAAGTTAGTCCTGCCTCACAGAGTAAAACTTATTTTTCTAGGTGAGAAAATTCTCTCTTATTCATTTTTTTCTTGATGGCAAAGATAGGGGTAAGTGGAGTCTCAAATTGGTCAACTTCTTGCTTGGACTATATATAGAAAGAAGTTCAGCTCCATATTGTCCAGGTCATATGAGAAATTCTTGCCCTTTATAATTTATCCATTTTCCATTAACATCCAGCTGGCAGAAGACACACAAAGACCATTCCTGTTTGCTAGCCCAGTCACAATGTTAAAATCCTGGGATTCTAGTGAATAAGTCACCAATAGAGATCACAAATAGGACAGTGTAATGAGACAAGGTAGGAGCCTGACAGCTTCCAAAGGTCATCTTGCTCTGTCATAAATGTGTCCTTGCCATGTGCAGATAAGCAATAAGATAATTTAGAAGGAGCAATAGGATTATTTAGACTTCCTGCTGGGAGGGGGGGAGATATCTGAAAAGACTTCAGTGGAGGGAGGGCATTGAACTTGGGATGGATGAGAAGGATTGACCCTCCATGGTATCCTCGGTTAGCAATGAGTGAAAGGACTTCTGAATGTCAGGGTGTGGGCGCGTCTGGAGTACCATAAATATGTCGTAGTTTCTAGGACTCCGTTAGGAATGCTGGAAAATTAATTGCTTTTACTAATGGGAAGAAATTTATACTATATTAAATCCTCAAGGTCTTTGTATCCTAGTGTTGGCAGCCCTTGCTTGTGCTAACAGGTCAAAGAAAAGGGTGAATCCAAAATTCCCTCAAATACCCACCTTCTTCCTTAGCAGAGTTTCCTCACCAACTATTTCCTTGAGAAAATAAGCAAAGGAAATGAACTGGCAAATTACAAGGGGCAAACTCTTATTTCTCCTCACGCTCATACTGACAAATTTATCTCTATCTGCACTGTCAGTTGTCCAGCTTGTTCAAGGTTAGCTCCTTCCTCATAGCTCTTTGCTGCCACACCAGCTGTTACTTCTCTCTCTTATATTTTCATCTACTCTCTGATTCTTCCCCGAAAGGCTATAAACTTGCTTAAACTTCTACCTGCAGCCCTGTCTCTTTCTTTCACAGCCAAGCTTCTGGAAAGCACAGTGTATCTGCAATTCACTCTTAACCTCACTTTTGCTCCTTGGTGGAGCGATAATTGGACCTTGGCCCTACCACCCTCTTTCCAGACCCCTGTCCATTCCTTGAGCATTGGTGTTTCTGTTATTGCTCTTGGCTCCTTTTGTCTTTGCTGTTGCTATTTCTGCTCTACCCAGGGGAACTCTTCCATTCCCTGGGTGTCAGTTCCAGTGGAATTACCTGTTTTAGGCATTGAGCTCTTAAGTCTGCCGTAAGACAAAAATTGTGTATGGTCAGAATTACCCTCTTTTAAAAAGCCCTTCATGTATGGACATGGTTTTATATATGCAAATCACATAGATAGATGACAGATGATAGATGATAGATAGATGATGATAGATAGGTAGATAGATAGATAGATAGATAGATAGATAGATGATAGATAGATAGATAGATAGATAGATAGATAGATAGATAGATAGATAGATAGATAGAAAAATGTGGTTATGGTTTTCTCTGTACAAATCACATAGATATATGTCTATATAAAAAGTAAAGTATGGATACGGTTTTCTACATGCAAATCACAAAGATATATCTGATATATGTAATGGAACAAAATGATATATATCAGATATATCTGTGTCATTTGCATGTAGAAAACATATCCATACTTTAAGAACCATTTGTGTGTATATAATTTAATGTACATATAAATTATATAAAATGTAACTATATTTTAATGTATATATACAGATGATTATATATAATACAAAAATACATCACAAATAATTCCCTGGGAGGAATTAAGAAATGTTATTAAGTGTTTACTGCCAAGAATATTTTAACAAATTTTTAGATGTTCCAACCTGTGAGCTCTTCCTGTTGGTCGACGTCATCCCTGTCTTCCATAGACCATTTCATCAGTTGCTCTCTCTCCTACCTGCCCTGAGCATCTTCATATTTTTCCTTCATGATGTTGGTGAAGCCTTACCAGGTTCTTGAATAGTTCTGTTGACTTCCTTGACAGCATTGTGAAAATCCTTACAAGAATTCACAGTTATTTACATGTTTTTCGAACACACATGGACCCATCCAAGCATGATTGGATCCATTGCTTATGAGCATATGCATATTGTGTGGCTTTTCTGCAATTAGCCTCACTATTTAAATTATTCATGCTTCTCTGTCTTTCTCTTTTTTGCATCTTGTTGTCAAATAATAAATTAGAATAACACTTCTTCACTGTTGTGTGTGTGTGTGTGTGTGTGTGTGTGTGTGTGTGTGTGTGTGTCTCCCATTCTGTATCTTCAGTTTAAATGTCTCCTTTGGACTCTAGATGGATATTCCATTGCCTACCAAACAGCTCCTGTACATATTTCTGAAACAGGACTGGTAACACTTTACCATTTGGGGGATCCACATCTGTTTCTATTAGATTCAAATCTTCATAAATGCAGGACTATCATTTTGGTTTTTGTATCTTCAGTACCTGCCAAATAATATGTGCTTAATGATTTTAAACTGTCAGTCTGGAATACAATCAGATCTTCAGAATCTAGATCTGCATTGGAAACTACTTTTTATATATAATTGCCTTCTTTTTAAATTTATTTTCAATTACAATTGACATACAATATTATATCAGTTTCAATTGTACAACGTAGTTATTAGACATTACAAAGTGATCACCCCGATAAGTCTAGCAGCCATCTGACACCATACATAGTTACCACAAAACTATTGACTGTATTTCCTACATTGTATTTTATATCCCCCGGCTATATAACTGCTTTCTGACAAGAGGGTTTAAAGTAGTGAAACAGCTATTCTGAGAAGAGTCTGTTCTTACCTTAGAAGAAAGGGAATTGCACACGCTAATGGGAAAGCAGAATTGAATTAACTGGTCACCCAGGGCTTCTCAGTCTGAAGTTTTGTCGTCTCTCAACCTCACTTGTCTTTATGAGGTAGATTGCCTCCTAGATAGTCTGACTTAGATAATAACTTGGGTAATTTTGTCACCTGTTAAAATTATGAAATTGTTACAGAAAAAGAAGGCATTGCAAGAATTTTCTGGATTGGCTTAAATCAGTTGTACTCTTCCAGAGGCTGGGAATGGTCCGACCACAAGCCATTAAACTTTCTCAACTGGGACCCAGGTAACTGCTCTCTCCTCTACCTATTATGCATAGAGCAAAAACCTCAAAATAACTAACTAAATAAATAAATAAACAAACAAACAGAGATTCCCACTCACTGAAATCTTATAAAAATTTCAAGTCCTGACAATTCTTATAATTGCTACCTCTCAAAAGAATTTTTTTCCTAAGGCCTTCTTAGGCTTAGTCATCACAGCCGTTATGCCATTAGAGCAAAGTTGATACCATTATAGCCAAGTTGAACCATAACGTGGGTAACTGAGCATTTGTCTCTAACCTTTAGAGCAACCTATATCTTTAAGTAAGAGCAGAATGAGCCCCATCACATGGCCCAGGAGCCATTCTGTGTCCCTTAGGGGACTTGATATGTCCATGACTAACCCACTTGTATTTCATCTGCAGCGTCACTCTAATATGGAAATATTCCCTCATTTTAAAACTCTTGGGGTCTCCCGCTGTAGAACCCAATTACTGACAACATAATGGTTATATTTTAGTACACAAATAAATACCTTAAAGAAAAGTTTATAGTAAATAAAACCTTAGCTAGCCAAAAGATATTTCCCCCAAAAGGAAGGTTTAGATACCTTTTTAAGAAATAAAATCATAAGCTTCTGACAAATGTAGAACCTAAAAGCTAACGCTTAACTTCAGCACAAAAGTATTCTGCACACGTATAAGAGAAATGAATTAAATACAATAAAATACCAATAAGTCATTTTAATTCAAGAAATTTTATTAGTAGTAATTCAAGACCTTAAAGGCAATACAGAATCATAAGTTAGGATATTTATTATATAGAGTAGCAGATTAAGAGCTACTGACCACAGGATATGACATTAAAGTTGATTGGGGCAGAGGTTTGGTTTTTGGTTTTTGTTTTTAAATTAACTACAGTATATCAGAGTCTTTCTATATTTTAGGCGAAAGACATATTTAGGCACATGATTGTTCATTGAGGCTTATACATTTCAACTTAGTAGAAGGTTTTAACTATTTCATGAATTCCCATAAAAGCAGAAAATTGAAAATACAAACCATCCCTCTAATCTTCTCCTTTTAACTGTTTGAAAATTTTGTTATTTAAGAGATGCCCAGTGCACCTGTGATAGGTGGGTCAAGCTGTGCGAGCATGGATGCCATATCTGGTCTGTGGCAGAGGTTTTCCTGTGAAGCTAAACTGCCCTACGTCTGCAGAAAATCATTAAACAACACAGTGGAGTTAACAGGTATATTCCCACTTCCTTGGACAAATAGGTCTTAAAATTACAGTTTTGTGAAGTCAAGTCAATCCATTTCGGGTATCTGTTTCCACCATTCTTTTATCTGGTACTGCCAGTGCTGAAAAGCATTGACTTTGACCCTGTGGTTAGATATTATCAACTATGGATATATGAATAAAGCTTTGGTTTGGTGTATCTTCATAGGAAGAAAGAGGTATTCTAGGGAAGAAATACATTTCTGTTTGCATGTGGCTCTTTTTTCTCTGGACAATGGTTCTCAAAGTGTGGTCCCCAGACACAGAGTATCAGCATCACCTGTACTTGCTGGAAATGCAGATTCTCAGGACCTACCCCAGATTTCCTGAATCAGAAACTCTTAGGGTGGGACCCAGCAATCTGTGTTTTATGAAGCTTTCCTGATGCTGCTGCTGCACACTTGGGTCTTACCTATTATTTATTATCTACCTCTGTGAAAAGTCGAAAATGACAGACACAGAACACTCCTGGGCTTTCCCACCTCCTGCTCCACAACACCCACCTCTCCTCTAGCCTTCACCAGGCTGGTTCTTTAGGTCTTAGTGTCAATAAACTGGGTAGGAAAGGAGAGGTGCAGAAGACAAAACGGGTACAAGGAGGGGTTTTTTTAGGGACTTTGTAAGTAAGTGGGACCCCGGGTGTTTGAATTTTTTGAGGAGCAGGGAAGTTTGAGGAGTCCTTGACAGAATGGAGAAGAGGAGTGCCCTTTCTGCCTCCCACGGTGCCTACCGTACCCCTGGTGTTTGATTAAATCTGGAATAAGAAAAACTAATACTCAAAACTGGGAGGAAAAACAGAGATTTTAAAACGTCATGCTTTAAGCGATGTTGGGGGAAAGGAATAAAGCATACATTTTCTTATCCACATAGATGCATAAAGCTATCTTTTTAAGATTAAAAATAAGTATATAGGGGGATGTTTTAAAGTAATAGGGGAAAATGAACATTTATCATCCAAGTTGATTCACACCAAAGTTAGTTTCTATAACAAAGGGCATAATAGAAAAGACAGCACAAATTAAAATAAACCAGGGGGGCTAATGATAGATCAAATAAGTATCCTGTAGTAGTAATTATTAGCTAAATCGTGATGTTTTCACATGATTGAATAATATGCATTTATTCAAATAACTCTGCCAGCAGGAAAATGAAAAGAGCAGAACCAAATGATATGCCTACTTATCATTTTAATCTTGCAAAAATATGAATTCATAGAGACAAAGACAGGAATAGGGAAAATGATTGTTTTAAGTTCAATTATGGGTGACTTTTCCCCTCTGCTTCTTTATCGTAATTGTAAAATACAGTGATAACAAGCACTGTTTCAGAACTGTGTGGGTAATTGAGTTATCTTGCAAGTGTGGGAAGCTAGCTGAACCTGAATTTTATCTTTGGTAAAAAACAAACTGTCCACATTTTTAAGATGCTGTGTTTCATACAACAAACATTCCAAACAGTTCTGCGTCCGTGAAGTCTGCGTAACCGAGCTACTTTCTAGTTCTGCCGAGAGAGGTAGAAGTATTCTGTATGGCTTTAGGCCCCACTCGCTTTCTCTAATCTTTTTGACCATCATTTGGATGAGTTTCCTCCTGGTCACAATGAAGACTCACTCACTCCGTGAGGGCTAGAGGCTGAGCAGAGGGGAGGAGGGAGGAGGTCCAGGCTCTGCCCCTCCCCGCTGCCGCCCTTCCTTGGTGTGGAGTGTCTACATTTCTGACTCTCTTCCTTAACTCCCTGCCTGTCCTTCTGAACAAAAGGAGCATTGATTTGAACAGTGAGCATTAAGGCACAGCCCCTGCTATGCTGACTGTACATGAAAAGGAGGCTCGACCTCATCATCTCTCAGAGGGTGAGACTGGAGGGGAACCTAACAAATGCCAAGCCGAGGAAGAGATTTGTGAGCAACTGGCTTACCCCACACCTCTCCTCTGCCTACTAGGACTAAGTCTGAGCCCAGCCACGGAGCACATTTGCATGGCATCCAAGTCCAATCATTATCTGAACCCCTGCAGTCACTCTTATGTTGCTATGTAGACATTGGGCACCCCATCAATTCATGTCACTGTACTCTCTGACATCACATCCCCCCCGTTCTTCAGAAGCTTTATGATTCAAGAAAGAGGAATTTGTAATGTTATTGATTCAAAATAGACCTATCTTTACTGGAATATAAATAGCCGCTTTTCTCCCAGATGTTTGGACGTATTCAGATACCCGCTGTGATGCAGACTGGCTGCCAAATAATGGGTTTTGCTATCTGCTGGTAAATGAAAGGGATTCCTGGGATTCAGCACATATGAAATGCAGAGCCCTCAGCAGTGACCTCATCAGCATTCATTCTTTAGCAGATGTGGAAGTGGTTGTGACAAAACTCCATAATGGGGGTAAGTTTTTAAAATATCCTACTTGAGAGCTTTAAAACATTTTAAAGTATTCCTATTTTCAGACTCTTCGTGGGAGTGAAAAGCTTACAGTTTGATCCTTGTAGCTCAGCACTGTCCCATAGAATGTTCTGCGATGATGAAACTGTTCTGTAATCAGCGCTGTCCAGTATGGTAGCCTCCAGCCACTTGTGGCTTTGGAGCACTTGAAATGCAGCTAGGGCAACTGAGGAACTGAATTTTTACTTTTATTTGATCTTAATTAATTTACAAATTTAAATAGCCACATTGGTAGCTAGTTGATTGAATAATGTATCTCTTCTCATAAGCTAAATTCTATTTAAGTTCTCCAAACACCTAAGTGATAATTATTTCACTTTTGTAATTATTTGAAAACTAAAGACCGAAGAACAAAAATATACTACACTGCCAGAATTATAGCCTTCTCCTAGGATTCACTAATAATATCTAAGAGTAGGTACCTATTCTGTTGTCAGCATGGTGTCAATTGTTTTACCAGGGTAGTGATGGACAGTATTCTTATACTAGTTGGAATATCCAGGAGTGTATTTATATAATTTTATTATTCCCCATAAAGCAAGGATTATCTAACTCAGATATCAGGAACAGCCAGCCTATCGGTCATATAGTATAGCTGCTCCACCTGTGTGCTCTACTTGCATGAGTGACCTGAAAAGCCTTCATCACTCAGCCTGCCTAACATGTCAACATTTTAACAGATTATTAAGAATACCAAAGGGATGGTTACCAGAGGAACAGGGTGGGGGGAATGGGTAAAAAGAGGAAGGAAAATATAGTCAATAATATTGTGGTAAGTTTACACAGTGAAAGGTGGTTACTAGAACTAGCGGGGAGAACACATTGTAAGGTATAAAAATGTCAAATCGCTGCATTACACCTGAAACTAATATAACCAATATAAGGTGGTATAGCAACTATACTTAAATTAAAAATAAGTAAATAAAAAAGAATACCATCTTCTGAATTAAATCTTTAAAAGAAAAAATAAAGAATATTGTCAAGGTTCTTAAAACCCCGTATTAGAATGTAAAAATCAGTAGCAATGTACACATTGAAGTATGTAATTGAGTAAAACCAAACTTGTAAAACATTTTTTTTTTTAGATGCCAAAGAAGAAACATGGACAGGTCTTAAGAACATAAATACACCAGCTTTATTTCAATGGTCAGATAGTACTGAAGTTACTCTAACATATTGGGATGAGAATGAGCCAAATGTTCCCCACAATAAGACTCCCAACTGTGTTTCCTATCTAGGAAAGGTAGGCAACCTTCTGGGGTTTATTTATAGTCTAATAATAATATCTGGTGGGGATGTTTGTGTTTAAGCTGGAAAATAAAAGGTAAGAGCCTTATAGATTGTCTTTCCAGTAGCTACTGAAAAAAGGTAAATACAATAATGATGAAGCAATTCACTTTATGCTTGAGAGTATCTGCTCTGGTGTGAAACAGAGCAAGAGGATCCCTTTAGAACTCAGATTCTTATGCCAGGTTGGTTCTAATAAGATGCTTTCTCTCAGGACCCTCAGTGTGATATTTAACATGTCGCCATCTGAAAAGTCTCATCTTCTGAATTTACATTCAGATTAATCCTACTTTAAGAAATAAAAAAGCCCTGGCTGGTGTGACTCAGTTGCTTGGAGCATCTTCCTGTACACCAACAGGTGACAGGTTTGATTTCTGGTCAGGGCACATACCCGGGTTGTGGGCTCGATCCCAGGGTTGGGGTGTGTACGGGAAGCAACCGATTGATGTTACTCTCTCTTATGTTGATGTTTCTCTCCCCTCTCTCTTTCTCTTTCTCCCTTCCTCTCTCTAAAATCAATTTAAAAAAATTTTTTTAAAGAAATAAAAAAATATATTAAAATTTAGGTCTATCTTGTTCAGAGACCATCTCACTCCTGTAAAATGCTTAAACATTTCTTGAACATGCTCTAGTTCAGAGTTCAAAATAAGTTGTATCTTGAGCAGAAAGGACATGTATACCTCTATATTTTGTTTGTATCACTTTCCTGTGGATTCCTAATTATTTAGGATTGTGTTGCCTAAGCTTCTAGAGAGACTTCAGTGGAAGCAATAGTGGTATGTGTATTTAGAAGTGTTTCAAGGGTAAAGGTGTAGTTAGAAACTTGTCAAAGATTAATTTAGAGGGTTGTCACATTTGATGTTCTATTTTAAAAGGATATCTAAGATGTCCTTAGAACAGCGTCAAAGGTAAAAATGACTTTCCATAGGCAAGAGTGAACCGATAGTGTACCTAGGCAGCATTCCAATGTCCAACTAGAACACTCTGTTTTCAGAAACCTTATCACAATTCACTTATTAAAATTTAATTGGAAGAAAGCAGGATGGGTTAGTCAATTAAGCAAAATAAATATTAACTATATTTGAAAGAGAGTACTTTGAAGTCGAAGCTGAAGTAGCACTGGAAGAAACTTTTGATTCTAGAATTCTTGGAGAGTAGATATTCTAACCATAATCATCTTAAACATGAGGAAACAGGAAGGTTAGTTGACATGCCCAAAAGTTTTCAACCTGTGGATCAACTTTGGCCATGTCTAGGAAGACGATTAGAACACAGGCAACTGTTTGTGGGCTGAGTTCTTCTCTCTTCAACTTCTATTGACAGTTTTATTTTTGCTTTTATAAGAAAATGAAAATCATCCCACTTGTGACCTTGAGAAGATTCTGAAATAATATGGGCTGGTTGACTAGCATTTTCTAAGAGTGTGTTCTCAGATTTCATCATTCATTTATATTCTCTCCCTATCTCTTTCTACCCCTTGCCCTCAGTTTCATGAAAAGAAGCTATCTTGACTTAAAATAAGTTAGAGTTCAATTCTAAATATATGGCAAATACTATCTCTTGTGAGAAAATGTTTTCCTATTTTTTAAAAGCTAGGTCAATGGAAAGTCCAATCATGCGAAGAGAAACTTAAATATGTGTGTAAGAAAAAGGGAGAAAAAGTGAGTGATGCAAGAGCTGATAAGATGTGTCCTCCAGATGAGGTATGTAAAACTTATGCATAAATTTTTCTAAGCAGTATTACACCTTCTTGGTAAGGGATGGTAATTGAGACTTTAACCAGTCAGACTTGGAAACTAGAAGAATTACTAGCTTCTTTTCATTTTCATTAGAGCAAGCCAGAGTGCAGTGAATCATAGCATATCAGTGTTCCTACAGAAGAAAAAAGAGTTACTTATTCATGAATTTCTATAAAAATGTATATGGTTACTATCCTCAATGCTGATAGCTTTACTTCCTTTATTTATATTATTCCTATTAAAAAATGATTCAACCAACAACATTATACTTTTATGATGAACTAGGAACTAAGGGTAAAGAGAACTGACATGCCTTCTGCCTGACACAGGCTCAGACTTGAGGTTATCTATGAAATTCTACCCCACCCTCATCATGGGTATGAATTCACTGCCCACATCCTTAGTTTCCATAAGTTGGGAGATATTAGCCAAACCTTGCTTGTCAGAGGAGGGCTACATCAAGTCTGGAAGACAGTGTGACTGTATTTCTCTGATTTAGGGTTGGAAGAGACATGGAGAAACCTGTTACAAGATTTACAAGGATGAGGTCCCTTTTGGAACCAACTGCAATCTGACTATAACTAGCAGGTGCGACCATCAGTAAACATGTGCTAGTGAACTTTTAACTCTGGGTTCCTTTGCTAAGTAATCGTCCTAAGGAAAAGGTGCATCTTCGCCTGGCCGGTGTAGCTCAGTGGTTGAGCATTGACCTATGATCAGGAGATCAAGGTTCGATTCCCTGTCAGAGCACATGCCTGGGTTGCAGGCTCCATCCCCAGTAGGGGGCGTGCAGAAGGCAGCCAATCAATAACTTTCATCACTGATGTTTCTATCTCTCTTCCTCTCCCTTCCTTTCTCTGAAATCAATAAAAATATATTTTTTTTAAAAAGGAAGAAAAAGGTGCATCTTCCATTTATATAGTAATTCACCCATTATAAAAACACCTGCTAATTTGACTCTTGTTTTGTAGATTTGAGCAAGAATACCTGAATGATATGATTAAAAGGTACACTAAATCTGCAGAAAAATACTTCTGGACTGGCCTGAGAGATGTAGATTCAAATGGAGAGTATAGCTGGGCAAGTGTTGGTGGAGAAAAGCGGTCTGTAACCTTTTCCAACTGGAATTTTCTTGAGCCAGGTGAGTGTCTTAGTGATAGAATACAGTGATCTGTGAAATGAAGCATCCCTCCCAAATATGTTCTTTACTTCCCATTAAAATGTGAGGGAAATTACCATCTTCAAGACTAGAATCTAACTATGGGACCATAAATAGAAGCGTGGACTCTATCTTCCCTATTAAATCCTTGGGAGTAATAATCCAATAAAAGAAGCTAGAAAACTCAGCTCTCAGAAACCACCATCTAAAGACATAGAGCTGGAACCCTCAGTGTCAGTTGTGTTTTTTTTCTCTTTTCCATGTTAGTCTCAAGCATAATCTAGAAGCATTATTGTGAAGCACTTTATATTTTCATCTCTCTGCTTCTTAACTTCTTTCTCTAAAATTGAATGGGTTTGCTTCTATTAACCTCAATGAGTGAAAATTAAGGAGGCAATATATTGTAGGTATTATTTATTCTGAAACTAGCCTAAAGCACTGACTGTAATTAGCCTTAGAATCAGAACTTTTGAGCCCAAAGGACCTCAGAAGTCCCTTCTGTTTTCAGAGTTGAGAAAACACAGGCTTTAAAAGGTAATTTACTTGACAAAGGTGATCTGGTTATTGAATTGCTGAAATCCAGCTCTCCTGGTTTCTAATCCAATGCTTTGTAGAGGATTTTGACTTTGTGTAAAAACAGCAATTATTAAGGGGTCAACTTTTTTCCCTTTCAATTATTTATATTTTCTTGTGTTTGTACAATCTGGTTGTGAAGACCAGCTTTCATAACAGAAATTAAAACATGCGCGTGTATAAACACAATATTTGAAATAGAGAATGCCCACAACATTTGTAACACATAGTCCTCATTATAAATGTGAGTGATGTTGATAACAAAGGCATCTTTTTACCTCTATAAGACGGAGAATACAGATGTTAATCCTGATTAAATGTCATCTTAAATTAAAATGTTCTAATATGTAAAACACATGTGATTTCTTTTATAGATATTCAGGCATCTTAGAATCAATGTCGATTCTTCATAGATAAGCCCCAGTCGTGGGAGAGGTGCTCAGGAAGTAACTACAATGTCTGTGCTCTCAGTCCTATAGGCAGAAAGCCCGGCATTAAGCTTTTTTCTTACCATTATTACTCCCAGCCCCAGCCAGCTTGGTCTATCATGGGCAAGCCATGGGTAGGAGGCAGAACCGGAGAAGAACAGCCCTTTCGTCCAGGGTGACACAGCACTTTTCCCCCAGGTCCTTGTCCGTGTGTAAGTGTGAGATGTGGGCCACACGGCTTCTCCGTTTGGTGGAATAAATTTGTCTTCATTACTTCCAATGTATGCTCTTGTCTTCTGCCCGCTTCAGGCAGCGCGGTGTCACGGAAAAGGGAGCCTGGCGCTATGCCAGACAAACCCGAGTCTGAGTCTTGACTCCACCACTCCCTGACTGTGCTTGTGGGAAAATCACTTATTCTTATCTGGAAAATGGATCTGACCATAGAAACTACCTTTTAATACTTTATGAATAAATAAAATTCTGGCTGCCATAAAATAAATAGTAAACATATATATACCTCCTCTACCTTTATTGTACTAGCCTTCCTTTGGATCTGAATCCAGAAGAGTTTTGTTTTGAGGTTTACTCTGTTGCTTAAAAACTGCCCAAAAGCCCTGGCTGGTTTGGCTCAGTGGTTAGAGCGTCGGCCTGCAGACTGAAGGGTCTCACGTTCGATTCCGGCCAAGGGCACGTACCTCTGTTGCAGGCTCGGTCCCCAGCCCTGGTTGGAGCATGTGTGGGGAGCAACAAATCGATGTGCCTCTCTCACATCAGTGTTTCTCTCTCTCTCTCTCTCTCCTTCTACTCTCTCTTGAAAAGCAATGGAAAAAAATATCCTTGGGTGAGAATTAAAAAAAAACACCTGTTCAAAGTGGTTCAAAGTTAGTATGAACCACTTAGGCCATGCTGAGCAGCTCTACACACACACCACCTGGGTTCTAGTCCTGGGTCAACCACTTAGTAACAGGTGACCTTGGGCAAGTCCGTAATCCTCACCGTACCTCGGTGTGACAACGGAATCCACTCTATAGGTTTTTTGTGAGGATTCAATTCATTTAATCCTCTTAGAATAGTTAGCAAACACTTCTCTGTCTTACTGTTGTCATCATGTTGTCATTGTTATTGTGAATGACACATTTCTCTCCCCACCTTGGCTCAGATAAAGAGTAAGGACACTGGAAAATGTTTGGACTTTAATTTTAAAATGTAATTTTTAATGAAACGTTCTCATTCAACCCCAGCTTCTCCAGGCAGGTGCGTGGCTATGACTAGTGGAGAGTCTCTTGGGAAATGGGAGGTAAAAGACTGCAGAAGCTTCAGAGCACTTTCAATTTGCAAGAAAACCAGTGGGCCCGTGGAGCCTGAAGAAGCAGTTCCCAAGCCTGAAGACCCCTGTTCCGAAGGCTGGGAGAGTTTCCCCTCAAGTCTTTCTTGTTATAAGGTAATGTAATATTCTCACTCAATCCCTCAATAAGATAATTCATCTACAATCCAAGTCCATGTCCTTGTACAAATTATGCTTCTCCTGAGACATATATGTAACCTACCCAAGTATTTGAGAGCACAGCATCCTTGTCAGGGAGGGCATCACTGCATCTCTGGCGTCAGACATCTCTTCCCACATAAACTCATGCCCTACCCAAAAGAGCAGGCCAGAATCCAACCTGGCTCTTCCCTAGGGTTCTTTTGTTCTGGGAATTTGGGGAGCTTCATGCCGTGCTGAAACTTTGCTTATGATTCCCGATCCCCTCTAATTCTTGTTATCAAATGAAGAGTTCTGTCACTCTTTACAATGCGAAAGAAATTATTTTAGGATCTGTGTCAGTTAACTGCTTCCACAAAGAATTCATTACATACCACCCCCAAATTCAGGGGCTATGACAACAAACACTTAGTCTCATGTTCACAGACCCCCAGGTCTGATAGGGTTCACACACCCAAAGTATACTTCACACACCCGGAGGCCATGGCAAGAATATATAATTACATCACAGGGAACTGATTGTGTCATCTGCTCTTCTTTTGCAATGACTGTCGTTCTTTTGGTATAAAATTAGTCATCACAAACCAAAGAAATGGTCTAAAGTCGAAAGTTTTGTTGCCACCTTCTGTCAAAATTCACACATCAGTGCAGCCTGCCCTTTGATTCCTCATTAGAAAATAGTTCTGCACTTGTGCAGATCTCGGTGTGTTATGTTCAGAATTATATTGTTAGCACATTTCTTTGCAGAAGTCTCCCAGCCCATTCATAGGTATCCTTTACAGCCTTATCTGCTAGCTCAATTGATCTCTCCAGGGCCTAGGAAGGCAGGAGAACATAGTATCTTATTGGAACAGTTTCCCAGCCTGACTGAGGAAGGTCATCGCTCTGACAACAGTGGCTGGCACCTGTGTTGGCCTTTAGTGACACTTGCAGCAGGGCCTGTCTGTGACACAGTATATGCACATTTACCTACATCTTCATTGCACCATTAAGAATCCATTACCTACAGCCCACACATTTGACTGTGATTGATTTTTAAATTATGAATATTTTATGATTATACCAGAAAACAATTTAACATTATATTTTGTTAAGATATTTCCTGTAGAAAGAATTGTAAGAAAGAGGAACTGGGAAGAAGCTGAGAGATTCTGCCAAGCACTTGGAGGACACCTTCTTAGCTTCCATCATGTGAATGAAATAAAGGAATTCCTTCACTTTTTAACAGACCAGTTCAGGTAATTCTTTTAGAAGGAGATCTTCTATGCTAAATTGAATGTCCTCTAGGTATTCATAATTGACATGTTTTATTATCTAAAAGGGTCATTCAGTGCTTAGCAGTCATTGGACATCAAGTATTTTTTTGTGTAAGACACTATGAGGGATTCAAAGATGAGGGAGACCGAGGCCCCACCCTTTGCACAGCATAATAAAGTTTAACTGTGGGGATAAAAGAATTAATAGTGGAAAATCTAGCACATAGGTAAGGAGGGGCCATGGGAATTCAGAGGAGGGAGAAAGTGTTTCTGGGAGGATTTCGTAATTGGGAAAAATGTTATGAAGAAGGATGTTCTTGGAAAATAAGGTAATGTTTTGAAAGGTAAAATAGGAGAAGGAGCCGGGGAAAACAATGTAAGCAAAGGTACGGAGACCAGAATGTACAGGGGGGAAAATCTGATAATTATATATATTACATATTAACATATTTAATTAATATATTTAACATACAAATTATAATTAAATTAAGAATAGAAGCACCCTGACACGTGTGGCTCAGTTAGTTGGAGCATCATCTCATGCACCGAAAGGTTGCCAGTTCGATTCTCAGCACAAATACCTAGGTTGCAGCTTCAGTCCTTGGCTGAGGCAGGTATGGAAGGCAGCTGATCGATGTTTCTCTCTCCTCCTCTCTCTCAAACTAAAAATAGCTAAACCAATAGCCATTTTATACTTAATGAATAAACATTAAATGCATTTCCATGAAAGTCAGAAAAAGGTAAAGATCCCTATTATTATCACTGTTGTTGATCTTTGGAATTATCTCCTGTGCATTAAGATTTTTTTCATATTTTTTTATTGAATTTATTGAGGTGACATTGATTAATAAAATTATGTAAGTTTCAGATATACAATTCTACAATACATAATCTGTGTATTGTATTGTGTTCACCTCCTTCCATCACCATTTATCCCTCGTTTACCTTCTTCTACCTGCCCTCAGCCCCTGTGCACTAAGATTTTTTTTTTTTAAATATATCTTTATTGATTTCAGAGAGAGGAAAGGAGAGGGAGAGAGACAGATGGAAACATCAATGATGAGAGAGTCACTGATCGCCTGCCTCCCACATGCCCCCGACTGGGGATCGAGCCGGCAACCCGGGCATGTGCCCGGACCGGGAATCGAACCCTGATCGCCTGGATCCTAGGTCAACGCTCAACCTCTGAGCCATGCCCAGCTGGGCTGTGCAGTAAGATTTAAAAAAATAATATTATAACATGTAAATATTTATAATATATTAAGCAGTTGAAAAAGCAAATTATAAAACAGTTAAATATACTATTTACATTAAAAAGTAGACTGCAAAAATGCATCAGAAAAGATAATCGTTACCTCTGGGAGATAAGATTTTGAGTGATTTTCTAAATGTGTGAATATTTTCCATACAAACCTTCTAGATGTGTATTAGCATACCCACAATTGTATTTTTCTCATTAAAGAAAGTGAAGTTTCACTACTGTGTGCTGGGAACCTGATGTAAAATAAAATACCTGTGTTCCATAAGTATTTATTTATTAAGCATCTGCTATAGAATGTCAGGTATTTTAGAGTTTATTGTCTAGCATTAGATATTAATATACAGCCCTGGCTGGGTAGCTCAGTGGGTGAGAGTGTCAACCCACACCAAGGTTGTGGGTTTGATTCCCAGTCAAGGCACATGAAAGAATCAACCAATGAATGCATAAATAAGTGGAACAACAAACTAATATTTCTCTCTCCCTTCCTCTCTTTCTCTAAAATCAATAAAAATAAAAATAAAGAAATGGGTATGCAAAATTTTATTGCAGAGCAGCCCTTCAGCTCATTTGGATATACTAACTCTTAGGTTCTTTTTGAGGTGAGTCTTTCTTAGCTACTCCCTACAACCTTGAGGAGTAGATCATAGTGAATGCAAAACTCAGACCAAATCTTCCCACACATAAAGACATTTATTAAACAAACCTTCACTGAAGGAGGCACAAAATGTTTCATACAACCTGTCTGGTAAGCTTGACAATATCCCAGCAGTCTGTCTTTCTAGGTGTTCCAACCACCATCTTGAGTGGAAGGTTCATTTGAGGTAAATGTGACAACGTTCCATAGGTAGGACTCTGTTCCCATTATTGTCAGAATCATGTAGTCCCAATCACCTGACCCAGAGACAGGACGTGGGGCCATTTGGAGCTCAAGCCCCAGGTCCACTTCTGATGGTGCAGGCTATGGGCCTCACCAGATTCTAATGCCCTTTCATGAAGGGTAAGAGTCTCTAAATACTTTAGCCATCCCTCATATCTTGAATAACTTCAGTTTTACCAATGGGAATCCATTTCTAATATTATGTTGATTAACAAGCTTCTAATTTCACTAATGTAAACCCATTTCTGACATTCACTCTGCTAATTACCAAAGCGTCAGCTGTGGCTTTAGATGACAGATGTCCTTGTGGTTACTGCCTCTGGCAATGGCCTTTCTAACACCCTGTTGATCCTCTCTGAAGTAAGAGTTTCAAGCAGGGTAACTTTTGGGCCCCCAGATCACAAGCTTAACACACACAATGTCATGCTGTCTTGGCTAGAGTATTTTTAAGTAAAATACTGACCTAAACTGGACTTTGAATAGCACCAACCAAGAGGTTAAGAACCTTTAACTATAAACAGGAAGCCATGGATAAGTACAAGGAGGTTGTAGATATTTGTGGTAATCAGTTGATGGGAAATAGAGTGTCATATATGATATAAATGATCCATAAGAGCTTCTATATACAAAATAGATTACATTAGAAGACAAAACTAAACTCTGAGAGGTAATTAAGGAATCTTTCTTGGTTTGTTTCTTAGTTTCTGATCACACTTGCTGAGGTTCCCCCCACCCCAATTTAAAAAGTAATGCAAGTTCATTATGTAAAATTTGTGAAATAATAAAAAATGATAATGAAGAAAATAAAAATCACCGTAAATCCTAGCTCCAAGTTATAAACAGTTAACATTTAGTGTGACACAGAATGTACAATGTTTAATTTTTTTCTGATCACAAAAGTGATGTATATTGAATTTAGAAAACAGAAAAGCACACACACAAAAAAACACATCACCATAATCCTTTCACTCTTAGGGACTATATTTTATTATCCTCTTATCCCAGCAGCTAACACAATGCCATATTAAGCAGACTGGGTTGTCTGCTTATGTACTCCATTAATAAAGAGATCCTTTGCCCACGCTATACTTGGCACACAGTGCAATATACAGATCTTATAACACAGAAACCCACACCTGAAACCTATATGATCATGTCACCCCAATAAATTTAATTTTTTTAAAAAGAAAGAAAGACAGCGTATTCTAAAAGCAATATTGTGACCATGGCTTGAAGGGAAGGAAGGAAGCAAACCTATTTATATCAGAAAAATGATTCTAAAGCTTACTCCTTGAACACCTTAACTTTTTATTGCAGGAAATGACCTTTCTCAGCAAGATGTCCATTGCCCAAATTGTGTATTGCATGCCAAGGAGTTAAATCAGATTACTGCTGTACTTCTTACAATCTACATTCCACATCTCTATTTGTATTTCAATGAAAAGGATTCATGGTGTACCAAGGCATTAAGGCTTTAAGATCATTGTAACTCCTAATGACAGCCCTCCAGGGAAAGCCATTGTAGAGCAAAAATAGTCATAGGATTAGAGAAGAAAAGCCTTGTTTGCAGTGCCATTGCTGCTGTGTGCACTACCTCCCTCGATGTGGCATGAATGGATTTAGATATAAATCTAGGGTTTTGCAGACTAAGTCCCCTCATCAAATAGTATTTATTGGAGGTTATGGCTGAGATACTGTTTTCTTTAGAACCAGATGTAGCAGGAAATTTGACTGAGAGTGGGAATTTTAACACAAATACATATATTAACCTTTTATGCAATGCCTTCTTAACCTAACAGCCTTAAACCATATACTTAGTGCTTGGGTTAGAAGAAATTTATAGAGAGATAAAATTTCAGTTGATTTGATTTCCTAGTTATGATCAATTTTTTCTCAAATTTTCTAAAATTTACATTACAAGTGTGCAATCATTAATGTGATTTCCAATTTCTTCTCTTTATCTGCCTACAGATAAATCAGGTCAAACCAGAAATAAGCTATAATTGAAGAAATATTTTCCACCTCTTACCACACAGAAAGAAAACACAAGTAGCTACTATTTTCTGTATTTATAACACATGAATGTATCTCTTGAAATGGAAGCTGAAAACTATAAATGTCTAGGTTGAAATGAAGTTCAATCTCAGAAAGTAGTGATTATTAGAAATTTTGGACAATAGGGTAAACTCAGCTCTCTAGGAAACTGTTCTTGAGATATAGCAGAGGAGGCAGAAATGGGCCTGAAAGCAGAGGTTTCTAAGGGAAAAAGGTGGAACCAAGAGAAAACTTGGTAGATAGGATGGGGACAGATCTCTAAAGAGTCTTTGACAAATGGTCTAATCATCTTTGTGGTTGTACTGTTGATTGTTGAAAGAAGATAAACTACTTAATGATTATTTTAGGGCAACACAAAATTCCCTCAAACTTAACCTCCTTTTTATTTTAGCCACCTAATTTTAATTATACTGTATATGGCAATTATCTTGACCCTGTGGTTTAGATATCCAATAATCGGGAAGTATGATAAACTTGGAAGCCTGTAAGAAAGCTCTGTTAGCTGCAGACACAAACTATAAATTCTTCTTACAGCCTCTAAATTCAAACTGGACTTAATTATCTGCACTGGAATTATTTTAAGTGTGCAAATTGATGATCTTGCTGTATGGAACAATACAATATAACAATCAAAACTGAAAGGGAGCAGTCCTTGTATTCCACTGCAGGAAGTTGAAAAGTTTCAAACTGAAGAGATGAAAAGGTGCTTTTTGATATTAAAATACAATGGAATGTAGAGTAAAGAAATAAAAGCAATTATTTTATTAAAAAATAAGGAATTAAATTAAAACTAAGTTTAGCATTTGATTTACTAGCAAATTTTTTCAAAGTATGTTTATTGATTTCAGAGAGAGGAAGGGAGAAGGAAAGGGAGAGAGATAGAAACATCAATGATGAGAGAGTCATTGATTGGCTGGCTCTTGCACTCTCCTTACTGGGGATCGAGCCCACAACCCGGGCATGTGCCCTGACTAGGAGTCGAACCGTGACCTCCTGGTTCATAGATCAATGGTCAACCACAGAGCCATGCCAGCCAGGCATTAGCAAATTTTTAAAATGCAGACTTCTTGTATTTCCCAGTGGTCTTGTAGCTGTACCTTTCATATTCTACTGAGCTTGAGAGTGAAGATTAATTTTAGATTTTAGTCCTACCCCTTCTCTAATATGTGTTATATTTATATACATATAATACTTATATATACATATATATTGTTATGCAATATATATGCACTCACATGTACTGATCATATATACCATACGTAATCAGAAGGTTAAATTACATAGAAACAAACAAGCATCACCAAAATAAAAAATTGTATGGAAAATGGCCTACTTATTAAGGCCTAGAAAGTGTAATACATTTTACAGGATATTTTCAAGTTGGGTTAGAGGTGGAGAACATTTTTGTATGGTTTATCACTTTTATTTATTTATATTGGCAATATCTCTGTGTAGAGCATAAATTTCACTGAGGGGAAGGGATCACTTATAATGTGTGTCCTTGCCTCTATGTGTCATGTATCTTCTTCCTTGGAGTACCTTTCCTTTCTCTTCTCAGCCAGTCTGAATACTGGCACATGGTAAACACTCAGATCATGGCCTGAAAGAAACATTAGCCATTCTTCGAAGACTGTCTTTTGTCCTACCAACCTCACAAATTGTTTTCTGACTTCCTGCAGTCAACAATGACCTCTCCTTTCACTGAACTTTGGTAGTGTTTAAAATGTATGCAAATTTCATATGATTTGCTCTCTTTCAAAAATGCTCTTATATGTTCTTTGTCTATATATATCTTGTCCCTGTGACTAGTTTATATGCCACTTGAGAGCAGGTATTAGGTCTTGTACTTCTCTGTATCATCATTGCACCTCGCTCAGTACCTTGTACATAAAAGTATATTAGTTATGTTAAATAGAATCACTTCAGTGATTGCCTAATTATATTGCTGTGCTGTAGCCCATGGAGTTTGGCATTGAGAAAATACTTGTTTATTTTCAATTTAATGGGCATGAGAATTAAATCCGTTTTTTATATCTTGTTTAATAAAAATTTAGCCAAATGGCTTGTTCTGCATTTTAAAGGGACGATATTTGGCAGTGCTATAGACAGGTGCTTTAAAGAAATGCCATTGTCATATTTAACTGTATCCGACAGCATTGTCTAATATTGAAGCTCTGCAGTAAAAGTTTTAGAATAATCATGTACTTTTTTTCCTCTTAAGTTCAAAGCAGAATAGTTTTTGCCTTTCATGTGAAGGAAATAGCTTAAAATTTAGTTTTAAAAACTATGATACTTTTCCATAGCTACCCCATGTGTAGGGCTTGGTTTCATTTCAGAAGACTTCTTTATATAGCTTGAAACTGTGCTTTCCAGTTAGGGCTTCTGAATAAACTTACGTGTCCTAAGCATTTTAGACATGTGAACGCTAAATATTTTTGCCAAAGGCTGTGCTTGATTTTTTTAAACACTTCCTTTTTACACAGTGGCGAGCGTTGGCTGTGGATAGGTTTGAATAAAAGGAGCCCTGATTTACAAGGATCCTGGCAGTGGAGTGATCGCACACCAGTAAGTTTAAACTTTCTTGTTTGGGGTAATATTGAAAGAGTATTTGTTTCAATAACAAGTAAGTTGATTATTAAATAATGCACCCACATACCATACAACCATTAAATTAATTTTGTAGATATATCTTTATTGAAATGGAAATAGATTCACAAATGTGAAGTATGGATAAAACAAGCTACTAACCTCATTTTTATTTAAAAAAATAAAATACGGCCATAGCCAGTTTGGTTCAGTAGTTCAAGTGTCGGTCCACAGACTGAAGAGTCCTGGGTTCAATTCCAGCCAAAGGCACCTACCTCAGTTCCAGGCTCAATTGCTGACCCCAGTCAGCACTTGAGCAGGAGGCGACCAATTGATGTTTCTCTCTCTCTCCCCCCACCTCTCTGAAAAGCAATGGAAAAAATATCCTCAGGTGAGGATTAAAAATAAAATGAGTAAATTAATTAATTAATTAATTAAATAAATATGTTTAGGCTTTCTCTACATAATCCAAAATATAAAAATATAGCAATATAAATGCAGTGGTCATCTTTGGTTACTACAACTGATACCTTTCTTTTTCTTTGTAATTTTTTTCTTTTATCATAATGGGAAGTTTTACTTTTATTCTCCAAGAATATAGAAGTTATGTAAAAAAAGAAAGCACCTTTATTGAGGGAAATAATTTGTTTGGGGGAACCCTAAAAAGTCCTTAAGTATTATATCAAATGTTTACATTATCTTAAAGAGAGGTTTTAGGTAACCCTTATAGGAGCAGATAATTCTCAAATATTAAATATTCACTCCACATCACCATTGTGTGAATTCATTATGTATTCTCTCTAAATATGAAATTGCTTGACTTTCATTTTCAAATTTTGGAGCATATCTGAGAATATTTCATCAAATAACTAGCATTTCAACACATGCAAAAAAAAAAAAAAGTATTTTGCAAGTTCCCGATTCTGTGACTCCAACTGTGAGCTTAATATACCATTAACCTCCACTTCCAAAACTGTTATCTTCCTTTGTTTGGAAACTGATGGCATTATGACATTTTCTAAGTCCTCTCATGATTTAGCATCCTCATACAAAAAAGGAAATGAAAGAATTTTCTTCCCATAGCATAGGAACACACTTGAGTTATTAAAGGTGCCTAAATTGCATCTAAATTGCAAATATTTATACATCAGTCTTAAATTCTCAAGCCTGTCTTGTCTTTGAAGGTGTCTACTTTTATCATGGAAAATGAGTTCCAGCAGGATTACGACGTCAGAGACTGTGCTGCTGTCAAGGTCAGTACGATGCTGGGAAATCTGCATGTTTTAACAATAAATCTGGTATCGTGTGCAGCCAGGTGCAGATCCATGGGGTGCCTTTTGTGTGTCGAGCATGGTATTAGGTGTGATGGGAGGTAAGAAATATACCCATGGCCCAGCCCTCAAGAAACCTAACTTATACTTAATTTGAGACGATAAAATCCATATTCAAGAAAGACAGCTCTTATTGCTATGCAGTAATAATAAGCTCCAAATGAGTGGGCTAAAGAGGGCTAATGAAACTCAAATAGAGGAAACTATTCCTGTCGCGTATTTCCAGAAAGAGGTGGGACTTGAATTGGGCCTTTAAAGAGGGATAGGGTTTGGTCAGGTAGGGCAGGGTAAAGCTTTCTAATGGGAAATGGTATGAGGAAGTGGCATAAGTAAGGTCGTAGTGGGAGAGGCTAAGGCAGCGAGGGGAACAGAATGCAGATCAAGAAGTCTTCGTTGGTGCTGTTTGGTGTTGAAAACAAAGTTGGGAAATAGGATTGCTGCCTGGGTAAGGAGTTTGTGCATGTTGGGGGGGGGGGG